TACATGACCACCAGCATCTTCCAGGGAAGAAGCTTGAAGCAGTTCACCCAGACACATGGAAAATGGACCAACTGTGAAAAGATTAGGGTCAGAGCCACCTTCTCTGAGAAACCTGGGGAAGGGGCAAATCCCGTCATCCAGAATGCCGGCATTGTCTGAGATGCCCTAGTCTTGGCTCCTGTGTGTCAATGTTGTGGACACGACAGCTGCAACCAACTGACCAGAGAAAGGACAGCCGGCCCTGAGTGTATTGGTGTGCTTGGTCAGCCCCGTTCCCCCCTGTTGTGTTCTCAGTCCTTCTCCCATGGACTGTATGACTGGGCTCCTTGCAAGCTGGACTTCTGGTGGGGTTCTCCAATCAGCATATAGACATGAGGGAGGGAGGTGGAAGAGGAAAGGGACCAGAGCATTTCTCCTCCACCTCCCTGCTCCAACGCTGTGATCCCTTGGCAGCTGTGATCACACATACACAACTCCTCATGGTCGGTAGGCCCCAGCTTACTGGTGCCCGGGTGGTCCAGCTTCCCAAGGAGGTCCCTTAATCTAGCCAAACCAAAACCAAAGCCACACTTATTACCATGGAACTCACAACAACCCTGTAGGAGAAAGTAGAACTGCCCCATACCTTTCTCTTACAGAGCAGCTGGTAGGTTTGAACTGCAGACCTTTTGGCTAACAGCCAAGAGCTTTTACCACTGTGCCACCAGGGGTCCCTTGAGCCTGACTACTTCTCCATCTCTGTGGGTTTGAACCATCTCAGTAGGGTTTATTTCTGGCCAGAAATCTCGGCTGGTGCTCATGCCGGATGTTCAAGGAAGCCAGGACCAAGACTTTGCCCTCTCCTTGCTACTACCCGGGTACACAGACACCCTTGGTTGACCCGTTGGCTGTGTATCCCCCAGGACTTAACAGCAGGAACCCTGAGCCCCTCTCTGAGTCTCCAAGGGGGGAAGAGCTGAATTTTCACCCAATCCCATTTGTACACCATGATGTAGTCCCTGGGCTTGAATCCACACCTGGCCTTTGAGCCGTATGCTTGATCTGACCAGCGCTATTCACGAATGGGGCCATTAGTCCTGCCTGGGCCCCATCCCTGTCTTCGACCTCTCTCCAGTTCGGTGCACACAGACACAGAGTTGGCCTGACCCTACACTAGAAAAGCGCTCTGGAGAAGGACAAAGAGTGTTGAGAATTGATTATTTGGCTCTTTGGGCAAATTTTTTAAAGCTGATTTAAATGTGAAAGGAATCATTTTATTTCACTTTTCTGAAAGTTCATATTGTTTTCAATGACTTGTTACTGTTAAGTGCTATTGAATCGGTTCTAACTCATAGCTACCCTGTATAGGGTTTCCAAGGAGCAGTTGTTGAGTTTGAACCGCCGACCTTGTAGTTCAAGCCAACCTTGCAATCTAGGGTTTATCCTACAGTGCCACACCAGGAATCCTTGGGTTTTAAATAAGAACCTGGGTTGCACGATGTACTTGGCTTCAGGAGAGCAAATGGCCAGCCACCTGGAGTTGGGGTGTGCACAAAGTCAGGGCTCCCACTTGGAGGTACAATGGGGAGCTGAAAGCATCACCTACGTGAACAAGGTTAGTATTAACCTGCTGCTGTCTGTGTAGACAACGCTGGCCTTGGGTTGAGATTGTCACATCGTAGGTGGCTGATATGTTGACATCACACGCGGAAACCATTTCATATTGGCCCACTTCCCTGGAAAGAGCTAAGGATGCCCTGTTCCAGCTCTCAAAAAATCCCATGGGGCATTTGAAACTGAGGAGGTCAGATTGGGTTCATTAGCTTCTATAAGATCCAGCTGAGAGCCAACCCAAGTAAAGCCAAACTATCCTTCCACACTTCTCTGTCTTTACAAAAGCTGTGGAGCTCAGCTGCTTGATATCAGTATACCTTCCGAGATCTTTTTAAGATTCTTTGTTCTTTTCACTGTAATAACACCAGTAATAAAATTACTTACCCCGATCTATATGGGTAACAAAAATCTTTAAAAAAATATTCATCCATGGGCTAATTTGAAATAGCTCATCAGTTGGTCTCAGCCCATCTGTCTGCCCATGTGCAACATAGATGAATTTCTGAATGCTCATGTATACGAAACATGGATACACTGACCATTCACATACGTGCACACACACATACATACACTCAAATACACATATCATCACACATATATCTGCTAGATTCCCTGTTACCATCTTTGTGTTCATACCTGGGGACGTATGTGGTGCTATCAGGGCTTGAAGCAGAAAGAATTTTCAGAAGACAGAATTTCTTCCCTATGTTTCCATGAGAGAACAGAGCTATCGCAGAAAAGCAGAATCACATGGTTGTTTCTGATTTACTCTAAATGCAGTGGCGGTCCTGTTTTAATTAAGAGTGGGAATCCTTTTTTATTTCATCGATCTGTAATTTTGAGCTAACAATTAAATTCAGAATGATTGAAAAGCTCTTTGGGTTACTAATACTCAAAGTCTCTTATTTTCTTGGGTAATAAGTTAGGAACCTCATGCGCAAGGTGCTAGTTTCACAGAAGAGCCGCTCCACTGTCCATCTCTCTCAGCCCCATCCCCTAAGCCAGAGGAAAGTCAGATCAAGTAACAGCATTTGTCCTGAAACATAAACACACTTACTTACCCAAGCAGCTCCCCACTCCTGCACTGTGTCTGTGCCCTAAGAAAAAGCCTAGATTGCACTCTTTACAATGATAACTCTAAAGTACTATCCTTTGCAAATGGCAACATGGACTCATCTAGATAACAATCGTCAAAACTTAGGGTAACATACAAGACAGCAAAACAAACATGGAAAGGAAAAGGGGTAATTCAAACAGCAGAATTCATTACTCATTTTTCTTTCTGCCCTTGAGGTTGCATCCCCCCCAACCTCCCCACTCCCCACCCCACCCCCCAGTGGCTGGTCCCTTCTTCTCCAGCCCCCGGGACTCAGCCTCCTCAGAAGCCTGGGCCTCTGAGACGCAGACATGCTTCCAGAGGATAATTTCAGGGTCCTCGTTCCTATGACACTATTTGTTTATTTCCCCCAGTGACTGACTTGAGTGAAGCAGCCAGGGAGAGGTTAATGAAAACACAACTTTATTCACAGAGGTGGAGAGTTTGGCATAACAAAATATCCAATGACAGCCCTTCCACCCTGTTTTCAGTTCACCTCAGGGAGCCAGGATCTCCCATAAAAACCCACCACCTCAACATCCCTAAAACCAAGGACCCTCTGAAGTTTCCCAGGTAGAATCTGGTCGTGGAAATGTTACTGGGTCTGTAGCAAATTGTCTAATGATGAGTTTCCACAAAGCCAACTCTGTGTCTACCAAGCATTCCATTACCGCACTTGCCTGAAATGCCCTCTCCTCTCCAACATATGAACCAACCCAAATCAAACGGGTTGTCCGTGAAATTGATCTGACTTATGGCACCCTGTGTGTGAGACAGTAGAACTGCTCCAGGGGGATTTCAAGGCTGTGGGCATTTTGGAAACAGATCTCCAGACGGGACCTCTTGATGTAAAGCTTGTACTGATTTTTAGACATGTCTTGGAAACGATTCTGAAAGCTATTTAGAAGACCCCTCTCAGCCTCATCCCACGGTGTCATGACTTTCTGTACCTTGCACAAGCCAGATAAGATAAAACTTACTCAGAAGTGTAGGAAATCCAATCTCAGAGCCTCCCACAAGAGCCCCAGATACAGACACCATATGAGGTTGAGTGCCTTTCTAAACAGTTTCAGGCTGAACTGGGCTGTGTAGACCATCATTGTCTTTACCAAGATCCCTGTTAAAATTTCTAGATTTTCAGCCACCTCGTTAAGTTGTTTGTCTAACTGTAGGCACCAGGTCTGAGAGATGGGGGCTTGGAGAGAAGTGGTGGGCTGGAGATGGGGTAAGCTGAGGGTGTCTGGAAGCACCCTCCCACCAAGCCTCTGTTCTTTGGGATCCACGGAGGCTGCTCAGGCCAACCTCAGCAGGTACTAACCCATCTCTCTCTCCCATTTGCTTTCTGTTTGTTGGTTTGTTTTACTGAATTTGTTGGATTAAAAGTAGTCCTTAGCTGCATCGTTCTGGGAAATAAAACAAAAAACAAACTTAGGTCTTGAAACAACACAGAAATTAAAAATTTACCTTTGTCAAAGGCGCCTTTTCTCCCCATCTCTACCTTCCTTCCAGAGTTTCTTGAAATATTTTGACCCCCCTTATAAACAAAAGCACAAAGATAGGATGGCTGCTACTTGTGGTTAAAAACATTGCAGAACATGTATGGATTAATGAAATATGTAAGGCCGCCAAACACTGTATTATCATCTATAGTGCACTTAAACAGAAGTCGTTAACCGAGGCTTCTAAGGGTGACTCCTATACTCAGAGTGCCTAAGTTAAGCAAAGACTAAATAAAGAGCGCGGTTTTTGCTGTCTAGAAAGAAAGAGAAAAATGCTCAGTTTGAAATGCAAGCAGGAAGGATGTTGGTAGTGTTTTGATGTCCACTTGGACATTGGTCAGGCTGGAGATCCAGGGGGGGAAACCTGAAACACAGAGATCATCCCTTGTGTGCCCCACAATTAATCTCTGAGGACAAACCCTGCTTGGAACACCCACCACTCAGATCCACTCAAAGCCTGGGCCACACACCAGAATGAGCTGGCACCAAAGGTCAGGCCGAAGTTCCAAGGTAGAAATGACGTCCTTCTGTCGTGGCCTTGGGCTGCCTGGGTGCTCTGATGCCCGGGAGGGTCCGCGGGACAGGCTGTGTCTTTAACCTCCTCCAAGGTCCTTACTGGCCGTTGGGCAGAGGGGAAGTATCTTCTACGCAGGAGCAGCCTGGTCCGTCCCCCCTCCCCCCACCCCCCCACAACGCAAAGATTGGAGACAGTCCTCATAATCCCCACGTCTGTAAAAGAACATGACTCCTTCTCGCACGGGTGGCCGAGACGCAGGCGTGGGCGGAGGGAGATGACCGAGTCATTGCTGGCTTTACTGGAAGTGAAACACGGCGTCCGAGAGCGGCAAGGGGAAGTAGGAAAGGAACGGGATTCCCAGCTGATAAAAGCCGCCCTGCACGTGGGGGTCGAGCATCAGCGAGGCATTGAATGGTGAGCGGGGGCCGGAGTTGCTGGCTAGCAGCGAGGCCCCAGCCCCGCCACCCGGACCCGGCTTGGCACCTCCTGGGAGCTCGACCCGCGCGGTGGGCTCCGGGCTCGGCCTCCCAGCCAGGATGCTGTCTATACTGAAGCTCTTGACCTTGTCGGCGCCTTTCGGAGAACTGCTGGAGGCGGGGCACGGAGGGCAGCTGGGGCTCTCCTCTGTGCGCCCTGCCTGGCCGCCCACTAAGACCAAAGGACCCGGGACAACGTGGCGCGGGTCCTCGTCAGGGGACCTGACCACAGACCAGGGGAGGGTCGCTGATGGAGAGGGCCCACGGGGGACCGGCGAGGGGCGTGCGCGCACTCCCTCCTCGGTTTCAGGGCCAGGTGGCACTCCCTCGCTCACCGCCTCGGGCTGCATCTCCACGCGGGCCCGCTTGACCTCCAGCGCCCCGGGACCCGGTTTGGGCTTCCTCTTGCGGCGCCGGTAGTTACCATTCTCGAACATGTCCAGGCAGCGGGGGTCCAGCGTCCAGTAGCTCCCCTTGCCTGGGCGCCCTTTCTCGCGCGGCACCTTGACGAAGCAGTCGTTGAGAGAGAGGTTGTGGCGGATGCTGTTCTGCCAGCCCTGCCGGTTGTCGTGGTAGAAGGGGAAGCGGTCCATGATGAACTGATAGATGCCACTGAGCGTGACCCGCTGCTCAGGCGCGTCCTGAATTGCCATGGCAATGAGCGCAATATAGCTGTAGGGTGGCTTCTGGGGGGGCTCAGCCCGGCCGGAGGCGGCCAGCGCAGTGGCGGGGGTGAAGGTCAGCGGCAGCCCGGGCTGCTCCGGACCGTACAGGTAGAGCAGCGGTGAGGTGGCCAGGCCCGGCAGCCGCGGGCAGAAGAGGTGGCTCATGGCGCGCAGAGCCGGCACTGCGCTCCCGGGGGGCTCAGGATCCGAAGTCCGCACCACCAGAGCCTTCCCTGGGAGCCCGCTGCGCCGCTGCTTCTGCCTTCGCCGCGCTTCCCGGCTGCGCCTCCGCTGCGCTCTGGCCCTCCTTCATGGCCTTAGAAATGTTAAATAATTGTTGTAAGTTTGCTATTATATATTGACTTAGCGCTGGAAAATAAATTGTCTATGATAAACAGTCGTTGTGTTCTCAGCCCACCCACATTAATTAAAATTTCATTGCTGAAAAACTGCAAGCTTCTCCCTCCACGTGTCTTTTTGATACCAGCCAATCGGTTTCGGGGTTATTCCTTCATTTGTTTATAGAATTAGTCTGTTGATAAGTCCGCCCACCCAAGTTGAATCAAGCTGTGTTTATTTGGAAAAATTTCCGGGCACCCAATATATAAACGCACTGATCTGATGTTTGAAATATCACGTCCACCCCTTGAAGCTGTAAGCACACATAGTCAGAAGGCAGGATGTGGACCGTGGTGGCAGGCCAGGGCGCACAGAGGTGGAGGTGGGGAGCAGGGCTTTTTTTTCAGGCTGGCCAAGGGAGCCCAGAATAGATGGTCTCCCACAAAAGGACTTTTCTTCCCATGCACTAAACAAATGTGGAGATGGCATCATGTAGGTAAAATGTCTTCTTGATGCCTGGAAGTTTTTAGAGATCTTGGGAAGAGATGTGGGGAGAAAGAGGGTGAGTCCATCCAAGCAGTTGGGGTGTATGCTGAGAGGGGGACAGAACCCTCCTGGAAAGATACCCATCAGGCCCTGAGTGGGGAAGTGTTTTCTAGGGACCTGGCATCCCCCAAAGGGACATGGAAGAGGCTTCAGGGTTTCTAGGCATCTGAGGTGCCCCATTTCTCCAGAACAGGGCACAGGGGACGAGGGACCTGGTAAGGGGGAAGGTTTACAAATGAACTGGTTTGGAGAGTTGAGGGGTGGGGTGGGGATTAAGGTCATTCTGGTCTGGTTGAGGTTGCAAGCGAGGAACACCATAAAAGGGGAATTTGGCAGCTGAGGCAGGAGAGCTGGTATTTGTGAATGCGGGTCTGTAGCTTTATATTCTGTGCTTTCCTGTTTATAACAAGGAGGGGGGTTATAACAACTTTACAAGTGCACGCAGCTGGCCCGTGATTACATTTAGCATTTGGGAAGCCTACTTGCGTCTCCCCCTAACCACCCACTCACCCACCCAGGGGGGTGTAAGCAAACCACCTCCCTCTCATTTTGCATTTTAGCAAAGTCAGGGTTTGAAGGGGTGGGGGGGAATCCTGAGGGTGCTTACTTGAGAGGTCTCTTCCCCAAACTCTACCTTGTGTAGTGTGTGGTGTGGTGTGTTTGTGTGTGTGTGTGTGTGTGTGTGTGTGTGTGTGTGTAGAGAATATAGATCTAGGATGAACGTTTTTAAGACAAAACAAAACAAAACCAAGAATGGAGGGTAACTGAATTCAGGTCTCATTGAGTAAATCCAGAGGCAAGCCACAGAGGAGGGGTAGCTGAGGGCCACATGGAGTGGAAGAGGCATCCAATGTGCATTGATGGGGGTCTCTGCCCTTGTCTTGGAAAGGTGGCACCAGGCTGGGGCCTGGCGGTGAGTTTCAGTTCACCTCCTGGACACTGAGATTCAGGGAAAGCCCCAACTTCACAGCCAGGAGGTCAGCAAGTGCCCCCATGTGTCTGGGGGTTTCTGGATACCTGGTGGTGGAGCAAACACACTGCAGGGAACCAGTAAACTGAAATACTAAAAAGGAAGTCCCAATCAGGGTGGAAAAACCGGTTTGGGTGCAGGCACAGCCAGAGGCAGAGCTGGGTCAGGCCTTGGGACATCCCTAGGCCTCCCTCCATAGCACTGTGCTGTACCTTAGGCCAAGCCACGCTAGGTTTGGTCCTGGCGGGAACCCTAGCTAGAAAGGGGGTGGAGTGAGGGCATTGTCCTCTCTCTGAAGAGTTCTAACCTTTCTCTGAGCGCCCCCTTTCAACCCTGGGGTAAAGAGAACCACAGAGACCATACCTCTGTCACTCGCATGACGCTATATTCTCTCCCCACACACACCCACCTCCACCGCCACCCAACCTCTGCAGATCTGAGCGTCCCAGAGCAAGCTCAAACGTGGCTCTAGGTCGGCCCACTCACCCAACCCAAGCCAAGAGACAATACACCCACCCCACCTCCTCAACCCACAACTCCTCCTGGACCCTTCCTGGGCACCCTTAGCCCCGCACGCACAGCTCTGGCCTTTCCTGAAACGCGCGCCAGCCTGGCGACTCTCCTCAATTCTAAAGCAAATCCAAGCTTGATTTCCTGCGATAATAAACACCCGCCCGATTTTGGCAGGGGATGGGGCTCGGGCGGGGACACGCGCGGCTGGAGGAGGGTGGGCGGGGCGCGGACAGTAAAGAAAGAAAATATCCGCGTTCTGGTGGTGGTTTGGAGAAGCATGCCCAGCCAGCCCGTTTGCAGACGTCCCAGCAGGAGAAGTCCCGTGGCTCGCCCCAGCCCCGCTCAGGCTCCGGCCCGGGCGCGTCTCCCTGCTCCCTGAGGAAAAGTCTGAAACTTGAGCCTCAGAAGGGGCTGCGATCGGATGAAGCTGCACAGGGGCAGATTTTCCGGGGAGTGCATGATGCGCGCGGATGCGCCCTCGTGCGGAAACTCCACTGGGAGAAGACGCCCAGAGGCCGAGTAGAGACCATTGAGGCTTGGGAGACAGCCTGGCAGCAGGGCTGTCCCAAAGATTCGATGGGGGCACCTAGAAAATGCCCTGCAGGTACCCAAAGATGAGCGTTTGTCTAGGAGTCATCAGGTAGGAGGGCATCGCCTGGCCCTTTTGGAGGCGCTGGTGCTTGGATCAACTTCCAGCCCTGGGGCTTAGCAAAGCTGTAGTCAATGTCCATCAGAGCAGAGGGTCCCATTCCCAGGCCGGGGGGCGCAAGAGGTGTCCTCCTGGGGAGGTTGGGAGGATCTTTGGCAACTATATTGTCCTCAGGAAAAAAGAAAAGGGAGGGAGACCCTGCACTCATCCTGCCGCAGATGCACAGAAGAATGAAAACATCCGCATACAGGCTACCTGCCACCATCTCTCCAAATACCTGCATCCGTTTTCCAAGCGTGAAAGCCAGCTAACAAGGTCAATGATCATGCACGTATCCTTGTCTGCTGTGTAATAATAGTGCAGCGTCGTGGTTACGAATCGGGCTGCGAACCGCAAGGTCAGAAAGATGAGGCTTTCTGCTCCGGTAAAGATTTACAGCCTCAGAAACCCTGTACAGGGTCGCTATGAACCAACTCCACGGCATATAACCACCACCACTACGTGTGAGAAAGGGGGAGCTGGAAAGACCCTACTGTCGACCTGAAAAAAGAACTACGATAGGAACAGCGAGATTACTAAGTACACTAAGGAGTGCGCTGCGTGTCAGCATCATTAACCATTAACTCATTCATTCTCACAGCAGCCCTAAGAGGCAGGAACCATTTTGCAGAATCCCCATTCAGCAGTGCAAGAAACGGAGGCCCAGGCGGTTAAGTCAGCTCACCTAAAACTGTCCTCTGAGAAAGTGTCCCAAAGACAGAGGCGCAGTTGTAGTATAATGGCTACCATATGTGAATGCTAAGGGCTTTGTGAAAGTTTTAGCCTGAGACTTCATAGAAAATTTGGGAAGGGGGCAATGATTCCCCCATTTTACAGAGGAGAAAACTGAGGCTCAGCATAACACATCCAAAGATCACAGAAGTAGTAAAGGAGAGAATAGGGATAGGGACACCCCCCATGCCCTCATAGCATAGTCGCCCTTGAAGGTCAGTCATGTGCATTTTAATGAGCTCAATCTGACACGCTCAGTAAACCACTGGGGCTCCAGAGAAAGAGAGAGACAGAAAGACAACCCATGAGGGTGGAGGAGGCTCCCCCAGAGAGGAGAGGCATTTGGCAGTCCCAGAGACTTGGGTCCTCATTTAGGAATCCACTGAAAGCTAGATGCTCCTCTTCCCTATTGATTTGAAAAGAGAGGAGGGGTTTCTTTCATTGCTTCTTGTGAGGTTATGGGGGGAGGGTAGCATGGGATTTAGAGGAGTCCTTGAAGATGCAGGAAGAAGCCCAGAAAACAGGGTAGGATTTTCCAAATTACTGCTTTACCTGGGTCCCAGAAATTACTTAAAGGGTCTAAATGCCTGGCAATTAGGCCACGCCTCCCCCCTCCCTTTTTGGCCCGATGCAAATAGTGAGCTGAGATCAAAGAATCCTTCTCCTCAGTCACTCAGACCAATCCCAACTGCTAATCCTGGGAGTCCTCACTGCAGGGCAGCTGCCTTGGGATGCACTTCCTCAGCTGTGGCAGGCTCATTACTTCATACAACCACCCATTGGATGAGCCTACGGCCTTTCCGTTGAAATGCTAGCCCAGAAGGAGAAGGTAAAGTGCTGATAAGGGCCGGAGTTATTTCCCATGGATTCAGCTGCCCTTAAAAACAACCCCCAGGCAGTCTGAACTGGGGCCTGGAGACAGCTGGGAAGGCAAGGGACAGCCAAGGGTTCTGAGACTTAAGGCTTTTCTGCCCGACCCCCCACCCCATCTCCCATGCAGGGTAGGCAGGCACAGACTGACTTCCCCAGAGCACAAGACCATACCCCAGGAGTTTGGAGGAGCAGAGACCCTTTCCCAATGATATCCAACTCCATTTCCTTAAAAGGACCTTGGATACTAGCACCCTGCCATCCTGCCAGCCCCCTCCCCCACCAATTTAAGCCCCCCCACACACACACACACACACGACTCTATCAATGAACTCTGAGAAAACCATAGCTCCTACCGTGGGGAGGCAAAGCATCACGTGAGGGCTACACATGACCCATCTTTTCTGTCTTTGCTGGTGAGCAAGAATGCAGAAGCAGCAAGGTAAAGACTTGCGAAGGCTCCCCACAAGAAGCTGTCCCACACAGCCTGCAGCGTCCTTCAAGCTGTCCCCCTACTCCCTTCTCCAAATGCCTGTGTCAGAAAGCACACATTTGGAACGCCTTGGCAAGCTGAGGCCACAGAAGAGGCAAGCAGGGAATGCTTCTGGAAGTTTGGGAAGGCATTTCAAGTATGTGGTGCAAGAAGGCATTCACTGCAGGGGGGTGACAGGGAGAGGCTGAGCTGGGGGTCCTGTTCACCTGGAGCTGAGGGATGGGACTCTAAGCCCACCAGCCTTCCAGTCATCTGTATCTAAGGAGTTAAAAGCTCAAATCCACACATCCACACCCATCACCTGCTGAGTACCTGACAGGAGGGCACAACACTGGCAATCTTTCCCTGAGACCCTAGCACTTTCAGAATCACAGCCCCTTCCTGAAAATGTGGTCCTACCCCTTCATCAATGGGCATCTTCCTCAGCATCTCCTTCTAACCAGCTCAGATTGATGGCTATCAATAAATTCCTATCAACCAAACTTGCCCCAAATCCCTGTTCCCCGGTTTTGAATTTGTTGTTGTTGTTGTGTGCCATGGAGTCCGGTTCTGACTCATAGTGACCCTGTACAGGGTTTCCGAGGCTGTAAATCTTTACCAGAGCAGAAAGCCTCATCTTTCTCCTGCGGAACAGCTGGTAGTTTCGAACTGCTGACCATGAGATAAGCAGCCCGTCAGTAACCACAAAGCTACCAGAGCTCCTTGGTTTTGAATTTAGGGGTGGCGATAAAGGATGTTTGTTTTAGGGGGAGCCAAGGACTATGCTGTTTGCACTTGGAGTGTGACTCACAACCCTCTCCATATAGTGCAGTGACCCCCAGGTAGGCCCCAGGGAGAAGGAGAAGATGGCCCCCAAAAGAGGAGCCTAGTGACCTGGATCCCAAGCCGCTGCTTCTACCCCTCCCTCTCACTTCTGATCTCCTGGGGGAGGCTGGTGGGCTGATGGAGACCCCAAGGCAGGAGCCCTGCTAAGTGGTAAGAAAGTTGTAGTCAGTCTGAGCACTGACCCACCGGGTCATTTTGCAGATAAGAAGACATAGGTCAAGGAGGGGATGTGGCCTGTCCAGGCAGCAGATGGAGCCATCTGGGGTTTCAAGTCTCCTGAATCTGGTGTCTGTGGGGACAGGCCATTTGATACAAGGTAGTGGGGGACAGAGTCCGGTTTTCAGGGTCCTCTTGTTAACAGCAGTGAACTTGGAAAGGCAACCCCAGATTTTCCCAGCCGATGCTCTGAGGTTAAGATGGACCGTGGTTGGTGTCACAATCTACCCACAAAGGGCCAGCCCAGGGGACACAAGATTAATGCCAGGGAAAAACAGGCTGTTTGCCATGAGTCTTGATATCTGGGTTGCTTTCATTTCATTTGCAATTATTTGCAACCTTGAAGCCCTGTCTTCTGGATGGAGAGCAAGGAGCCGTGTCAGATGAGGCCTCTCACCAACTATATTTGCCTCCTCGAAGGCTGCAGGGCCCTAATTCCAAGTATAAGGCCGCCTCCTTGCTCCCCTCAAAGGCTCACGGAAGGGGTTGAAGCGGACCGTGGAGAGAGGGCGGCTTGGGCCGTGAAGCGGCAGAAGCGCAGGGCGCCGCATAGGCAGCCTGGCGCGAGAGCGTCAAGCGGGAGCTTCCAAGAGCTTGGTGCCTCGGGTCTTCCCACGCCGCCCGCTGGGGAAGCAGCCAGACGGTCCGACGCCGCTATGCCCCAGGTTCAAGCAGTGCACATCTCCGGGGCACCTCAGGCCGTCCAGGGCCAAACTGAGCTCTGAGCCCAGAACAAGGGTCTCCGCACCCCTCCTGTCTCCCTCGACGTCTCGACCTACAAGGTCACCTTTGGGAGTCTAAAGCACGCTAGAGCCTGACACTCCCAGAGGCCTCCAGATACTTGAATTAAGCGGTAAATATGCCCCCCAAAGTGTTCCCATTCCAGGGGAATGGACGTCCATCACCCTGCCTCCAAGTGAGGAATTACAAAACAAATTGTCCACTGGGGCTGGCCGACCCATGCAGAGCACGGACTTTTTAAGAGAACCGTCATAAAGATGCAAAAGCCAGCTCGATTTCCACGCTGAATAGAGTTCCATCACACCCCCCACCCCCGAGTCCATGCTTGTAGCTCCTTTATCCCCATGTGTCCCACAGGCCTTGGCTGAAAAAACAAGGACTCCAAATCTTACTTAAGATGAGGTAAGCTTTCAGGAAGCCATCTTTGGAATCTCTGGGGCTGGAGGAAGCCAGTTAGCGTGCTTGGGATCTAGAACACACTGGTCTTTGCCCTGATGGCCAAGAGCTTAGAGGGGGGAACAAAATGAAACTGAGTAGCAGAGGGGGACCGGCTTGGATCATCTCTCACGCCTCAGATAGGTTCTTTTCCTTTTCCTTCCACCGGACTAGCTAATTCAACCAAGCAGTGTGGCCTACGGTGAGTGGGGGGTGGGAGGTGGGGGAGGCTAATGAAAGCTAAGTACCCACTCCCTCCCACAAGTTACAAATTGTTGTTGTTGTTAGGTGCCATCCAGTAGGTACCGACTCATAGCAACCTTATGCACAGCAGAAAGAAACACTGCCCGATCCTGGCCCAAACAGCAATAGGAAAAAATAAATAAAACTTGCCTTGGTCCCTAAATCCTGCCACTTGCCTCTTTTCCAGGAATATGCTTCCAGCTTTCTGCCAGTCTATTTCAGCATGAGGACAAAATACTCAGGTTCTGACAATGCTGCCACATCGAACAAAATCACCTTTTGGAAAGTTCTCCCCACTTGAAATGGTAAATTCACAAGGAACTTTACCTTGGCAACCTATAATAGCTCACCTGCTGGAATAGGGACCAGAGGAAATTCTAGCCCCCCAAATTCATACTCAGAAGACTGTGGGGGAGTTGTGTGGTTTGGCTGATGAAACCGAATAAAACCATTCAGGCCACATCTCACCCAGACTCGCTATTTAAATATGTAAAAAGCAGTAGTCATCATGAGAAAGACAAACAGTGGCCTGGTTGCAGAAAGTTTTCAATCGTTGAGACATTTGGAGTCAGCAATGCATTGGGAATTGTTTGAGGTTTGAAGAAAAGTTTTCACTGAGACAAAGGAAAAGATTTCTAAATCAAATCCTGAATCACAGAGGGTTGGTTGATCTCCACTGTAGAACGGAACAAACGGGGGAGGAAAACGCTGACACCTCCGGTGATCTATCTACATTGTATTATTTTCTGGACACCCTTGTAAGTGGGTGAGGAAGCCCACATTTCAGGGACCAGAGGGACTTCCCCCTCGTTGTAATAAACAAAGGGGAAATGTTTATTTCGCCCCCCTAAATTAGGCACTGCTGGAAAACTGAGATGGAGTGCCCAGTGCCACTGTTTGCTTTGACAATGGATATCTTTTTCTGCATTTAGCAAAATGCAAGGCTGCGAAGAGACCCGCACCAAGTCCTTCATTTGGTCCATCCAGCCCTTGGGTGCCTTGGACATTCTTGGCCACAGTGGGATTTTAAAATTAAGTCAAAAGCCTTCCCCACACTCCACACTCTTGTGCAAACAGCTGTGTAAGTCTATCCATACGCCCACCTGTCTAACAAAAAATAATTAAAACAGGTGGGTTTGCAAACATACCTCATTTAAAAAAAAATTCCATCACACAAACACACTGTGCAAATTTTGGGCAGAAAAACAACACAGATTTATTTCAGGGTAAGTACAACAATTAAGACCACATAAGACAAACACAGGGGAAGTGAAATTGGTTTTTTTTTTCTTCTTTTCCTTTCTTTTAGTAATGCCCAGGGTGAATTCTACTATACAAAATCATCACGCTTGGTCAAGAAAAAGTATCAGATACTAGACTTCTTTATCCGCGGACAACAAAAACAATAAATTACTTTCTTGTTTCGTAAAAGCCTACAGCTGGGAAAGAATGACCTTGCATAATTGTAAAACGGGGTGAGGGGAACCCATCTAGGTTTCTTTACTTCAATTTGGCAGTTAGAAATGGTTGGGCAAGATGAAAAAACAAAACAAAACAAAACACGTTATCCAGTGAACTCAACTTTAAATATTATATTAATGGCTCTGAACAACAACAACACATAGCCTGGTTACAAATGCACACATTTGTACAACACGGTTAGAGAAATTCATAATAACACACAGCACTACATTATCTGTAGAGAGTCACATACACTTACGTGAGTCTCCACAGAAAGGTACTGTTGGTCTCACTATATGGGACAGGGTCCATAACTTAATTTTCTTTCTTTCTTTTTGAAACCCGGAGAGGAGCCGAGCACAGCCATTCTGTTTACAGGGTAAGGGAAGGGGGCTGGAATTTCAATATCCACCCCCTTTAGAGGTGCTTCCTGGGGTGTCAGAAACCAGTCGGCGAGTTAAAGTTACCTGCAACTTCTCAGAGGGCTGGTGCACAGCGCTCTCTCTGCTCCCGGGTCTGAGCAAAGGTGGGTTGGGCAAGTTTGGTGTCTCTTTTGTGTCTCTGCCGCCTTAACTGTCTGAGAGGGAAGCCAGAGCGAGCCGGGGGCAGGGGAGGCCCGACGGAGTCAGTATTTCGGACAGTCATAGGAGTAGGGGGCTGCGTGGCGGTACAGCGACGGCGCCGACCTGTAAGGCAGCTGACAGCTGGCGTTGCTGCTCACCTGATGATCCCCAAGACCCGAGTTCTCCAGGCCCAGCCGGTGGGAGTTGAACATCTCCCGGACGTTGGGGAAAGACTGCTGCTGTGCCGCGAACGTGTGGCCTGAGAGGTGGTTCAGCTCCCCGCTGTGGTTGAGATACCAAGAGGCCGTCTGGGCCGCGGCGGTCCCGGGCTGCGGCGCCGGCTGGGGCTGGGGCGCCGGCGGGGGCGGCGGCGCGGGTGGGTGGTGGTGACCGTGGTGCTGGTGGTGGTGTCCCGCGGCGGCCAGCGCGCCCTCCTGGCTGGCTGCGAGGTTGAGAGCATTCAGGGGTGACGTGGGGCCGCTCGCGTGGTCCGAGAGCGCCTCGTCCAGAGCAGGCGGACCGCACACGTGCGCGGACCGCTCGGCGCCGGCGTACAGGCTCATGGCGCGCACGCTGCACTGGTAGCCGCCGGTCGGCCCGGCTTCCAGGCCCTGCGCACACGGCTGCCCGTAGGTGGCGGGCGGGGCAGCGGCGTAGGGCAGCGCCAGCGGCGGCACCACCAGCCCCGCGCGCCCCCCGGCGGGGCTCAGCTCACCACCCGGCGGCGACGTTCGCAGCGTCATGATGTTCTCCACGCTGAAGCCCGGCAGCCCATTGGGCGGCCCGGCCTGGTGCTCCGGCAGCGAGCCGTCGGGGGAGCCGGCGGGAGTGGACGCGGCGCTGCGCGGGCTGGCTTGCAGCGCGCCCTCGGGGCTCAGGGTTTCCACCTTAGTGATGACCGGCAGCGCTGGCGACGCCGCCTCGCTCTTGATTACCACCTTCTTCTCAGTTTCTTTGGGGGCGTCCGCTAGGGGGGGCCCGGTCGGGGCGCCCTTGGTCGCTGCTGGAGGCGGCTCCTTGAGGTGCGCGCGCTCCTCCTTCTCTCGGGGCACGTCCTTCTTCTTGAAGCGCCGGCGTCGCCGCAGGAAGCTGCCATTCTCGAACATGTTGTAGGAGTCCGGGTCCAGCGTCCAGTAGCTGCCCTTGCCCGGCTTCTTGTCGTCGCGCGGCACCTTAACGAAGCACTCGTTGAGCGAGAGATTGTGTCGGATGCTGTTCTGCCAGCCCTGCTTGTTCTCCCGGTAGAAGGGGAAGCGGTCCATGATGAACTGGTAGATGCCATTTAGGGTGATCTTCTTCTCAGGAGCGTTCTGTATGGCCATGGTGATGAGCGCGATGTAGCTGTACGGCGGCTTCACCAGGTCCTTGGGCGCCGCGGGCTGGTGGTGGTGGTAGGGCGCGTACGAGCGGCCCATGCCTGCGCCGTACTGATCCGGGTGGCCGGAGTAGACGCCCATGGGGCTGGCCATGCCGCCGTAGCTGCCCGCCGCGCGGTAGTAGTTCTGCTCACTCAAGTAGGGCACCACGCCTAGCGCGTTGGGGTCCGACACGGAGTAGCGCGCCTGCATGCTGCGGCCCGGGGCGGCCGGCCACCGCCTGCGCGCGCGGACGCGGCCGGGCGATCGGCCGGGCGAGGAAAGGCCTGCCTGCGAGAGCGAAAGAGAGAGAGAGAAAAGGAAAGAGGGAGGAGGAGTGAGGCGAGAGTGGAGCCGGCGGCCAGGAGCCTCAGAGGTGCTGCGCCGGGTGCGTCGGCCTCGCCGCCGCCGAGGCCGAGTGGTGCGCGCTCAGCGGCCGGGGCGGTTCGGCATCCCCAAGGCGCGCCGGGGAGCGCCGCCGACCACTACTCCCTCGCCCTCCGGACGCCCGGGGCAGGCGACCGGGACCAAGGCTCGCCCTTGTGGCCGCGCGTGAGAGGAGTCCAAGCAGATCGGCGCGCTGGGGTCCGGAGCGGGTGGCTGCGGAGCCAGAAAAAAAAAAAAACAGTCCAAGTCCCTTTTCGGGTTTGGGAAAAGTTTCAAAAGTCCTGTTGCTGAAAGCAAGTTTTTACTTTCCTCTGGCCACGCCCCCTCCTGAAACTTTGGGCCAATCCGAGGGCAGCTGTGGGAACCTGGCACCAATCAGGGCGAAGAGCGGCGAATCCGTCGGCTCTAAGACCCCGCAGAGCTAGACTTTGCGGCTCGATAGCAACTTAAAGAGCTTTTTTTATTTAAGTTCTATCTTATTAAAATTTATTTTATTATCACATTTTGTTTAATGGGCCTACGTGTCCAGAGGGGGATTAAAAAAGGTGTTCCTTTGCAAAAATCCATCTTGAAATATAAAATCGAATTGATTAATATAGATCTCCCCAAAGACCCTATAGGTAACAAGATCCAGTGACCATTTTTCTCATTAATGAGTGATGAGGCGAGTAATTGGATTTCCTCATTAACGGGGCCCAGGTTGACTGGATTCAAAGCTTACGGGCCAGACTCGAATGGGAACATCTCTCTATTGGGTGCGATTTAATACCAAGCAGGTCCGGGACCGTCAAGAATGACCTAGAACGATTTTAGAAGCGAATTGCAGAAACCGAATTCTCTTCCTCCCTCCGGCGGAGCCGGGCCTGGCGTCTACGCGGGAACACTGAAGGCTGGAGGTTAGCGGCGGTCCTGACAACTGGATCCTCGCGCATCTCCACCAGCAATGCGGTGGATTTGGGGAAGGACTGCGCAGTAACTGCCCCGTTCCCCACTTCCCTCTCCTGCGTAAACGGCTCCAGTGGCGAAGGGTCTCTCCCTACCCCCCAGCTAGAAGCCCCTTTGGGCGAGTCGGCCCCCGCGCTCCCGAAAGACCAGAACGGCGCAGCAACCCACGGACCCCAGGCCGAGTCAGGGTCCCTCTGCCCGGCGACAAGAACTCCAGTCCGAGTGCGGAGCGTCCGGGCTCTGAGCTAGCCAGACCCCGGGCCAGGCCCCGACCTCCCGCCTCGGGCAAACCCCCCTCGCCGTTTGCCAAGTCGACTCTCTGCCTTCTAGCCTGTTCTATTTGGTTAGTTTGGGGAGACGTGAGTTGGGGGCCTGGGCTCCTTGGGAGAACCGGGTAAGCGATTCCAAATGGTCAAGACCCTTCAGAGGTTTTATTTTGGATGCCGATCAGCTGCGACCTGGAGTTCCTCGCCCTCCGACGCTTCGGTTTCCTTCTTCCGTCTAGGAATTGCGGGCACTTTATTTCTAGACTGATTTATTTATTCCTTCAACGCCTCAGAAAATCAGATCCCGTTCGCCCACTTCCGAAAAGGAGAATCCCGCTTGTAAAGGGCTAAATAGTGATCAAGATGCTTCTGAAAGCTGTCGGTCTGCTGGGGGGTAGGAGAGGAGGATTTCAGAGGAAATGTTTGTAATTCAAGTATTCTGTTTTTTCTTCCATTAGTCTTTTATTAGATTTCCCAGCAAAGGCCGTTCGCGATTGAGTTGCTCTGCTCGTAAATTTGGGGAGGTTGACAGAAGACATTGGTAGTCTCATTCATTAAAAAATAAATAAAATATTTACGTGCGTTATGAATATTATTAATGCTTTTTCTCGATAAATTCAAAATCAAAGAGACCGAACAGAACGATTTCTAGTACCTTGAATATTCTACTTCGGAAACCCTCACTATATGTATTTCATGGGTTCTGTGGGGAGTTTATCTAACTTGATCCTTTTATTATTATTATTTTAACGAAGTATACATCCAGCCAGCTCTCAGCTCACACGGGAATGTTTTGGGCTTTCTTTGCTTAGCTTCCAGCACTGCTTTATTATAATTTAATAGCTCTAGACTTTTCACGTCAATCTTTAAAAAAAAAAAAATAAAACAGACTCATCAAAGTGCCATTTCGCTGGAGGCACCCTGAGATTTTTTTTCACATTTTTTTCTTTTAATTGGAAATGCTGAGTATTGTCAAAGAACACCATTCAGTCTGTGGGCTTCCTGGAGGAATATTATTTATTTTGCTTTTATGAGTTGTTTAAAAACAAAAACAAAACTAGTTTTTATCACACCACAGGGTAAAACCCCCCAAATAGCTAAGGATCATGAAGAATAAACTCCAAAATGTCGGTTTCTGCCTCACTTTGTATTTATTTACAAGAGTACCCAGGTTTTAACCAGTATCATCGGAAAAGAAGGAGGCTGCGTTGCCAAAAGTAAATATCATTTGCTCCCCTCTTACCCCCATAAAGTGGGGACTGGTTCGGAGAAATCCTAAAAATCAAGACCGAGAAGGAACTTTCTGTTGCCTTGGAATTGGGTTTCTTCTCAGCTCAGCAATTCCCAGGGAGAGATGTTTGTTCAGGTGATTGAAGCGACGCCTTCCACGCACCTGGAGTTTCCGATCCTCTCACCTGCTTGGGTTTTTGGGATTGGGGACTGCTAATTTTCTTGCTGATTTCCCTGACCTGCTGCTAGTGAGCCGGAATGGGGATCGGGCCCCAGAGGACCTGCCTGTTACTAAAATAATAAGCGATGATACAGGCAAGAGATATTCCAGTTATTTCCACCCCCAACTCTGCATTCCGCCCCCAGGCGCCGCCCTGGCTTCCGCACCTGGAGGCTCCTCTAAGGACTTTTGTGGGTGTTGGCGCCATCTAGGGGGGTGGGGGTGAACTACGTCGATAAAAAAACAAACCACAAACCAGACCAATTCTGGTTGACATGGAGGTACTGACACCTTGTGGCTAGATCTTGGCATTGCACGGCAGGACTTAGGCCTCCCTGGGATGTGAGTTGTTTGTTATTAAATGCCTTGGAGTTGGTTCCGACTGTGTGCCACACGTCGGTTTAAAAAAACAAGCAAACAAACAAAAAAAGCCATTTTCTGGGGAGCAAGAAAGCTTCCTTAGGGAGACTCACAGAGTTTTTAAGCAAATAAAATTTGTGCCTCTTAACTGGCTAGGAATCTGGGTTTTTGTTTCTTCTCTCTCTCCCAGGGTTGTTGTACAAATTACCCTCCAAGCGTCTTCCCTCACACGGTTGGGAGTGCAGCACAAATTCCAGAAAATTGGATAGAAAACCCTATGAGGTTGGTTGACTTTGCTTAGAGAAAGACTTGCAAATGTGTCTCACAGTTACATGGCTTTGGAGACATGATGGAGAACTAAGAGACAGATACCAGGTGAAGGGAGTTTTTGGTTCTTAGATGTTCTTTGTATCCATCCCCAAAGCCTGCAAAGATTGTCCTGGACTCACAGGTGCTGGTAGGTTTTAAGGGCGGAGACCAGGTGTAAAACCACGGTCTCCAGCTTCTAAAATCTACCTGGGAGCTGGGTGGTGCCAACAGTTAAACTTTGCACCTGGGGGTGCCTCAGAAGACACACCTGGCAATGTGCTTCGCAAAAAGTCACAGCTTTGAAACCCTAGGAAGCAGTTCTGTTCTACACAACATAAGTCCAGCTCAACCACCCTCACTCCCACCGCTGACACCATCAATAGCAAAAGGTACTGTGGACCTCAAGAGACCTTGGGTTACACGGAATCGGTGCAACTTCCTGAACCATCTACTGTGAAAAGGAAAGGAAGCAGGAAACACAGGGAGGAGGGGTACGCGATCTGTGCATTGCAGGGGCTGCAGTCCATAAGATGAAACAAAATGTGTAGGAATTGCTGGATGGAAACCGATGGTTTTCATCCAATTCACAATAAAAAGATTAAAAACTCGATTGTGATTCAGCATCTAGAAATGGTGTCTGTAGGACATAAAACTGAGGATGTGAACTGCCCAAGCCCAGTTTACTGAATGTGCCCTTTATGACATGTTAAACTGATGTTGTTGAGAAGTGTTGTTGAGTCCGTCCCAACTCATAGCGACCCTGTACAGGGTTTCTGAGGAGCAGCTGGTGGGTTTGAACCACCGAACTTGTGGTTTCCAGTCTAGTGCTGATCTTACAGCGCCATACCAGGAGTCCCAAAGTGAAATGGTGCCCTTCATCCATAACAGAATTCTGAAGCACAAAATAACAATAACAAAACAAAGAGATTAAAGAAATGTCACAACCAAATATGTTGCAGGCAGCCTCTCAGAGGTACGGTGGGTTCAGTTCCAGATCACAGCAAGAAAGCAAATATCATAATCTTTAGTTCCCCAGTGCATAGGAAGATGTTGACACTTTACTAAGAGTCTATGAAGTATTCGGTAGCAGGGTGAAGACATCTGAATTATTGTGAGAAAAACCAACAGAGGCCACAGAGACGACACGAACTTGTATTGGTGGGAAAATGGCGCGGACAGACGTCCACCACTGCCCACAGCGGTGGCACAGACTGTCACTTTGTGCGGTATCTGCGAAGCGCAAAAAAACAGTGCATGATATATATATATATAAAAAAAAACGAGATCTGCTTTATTTAATCCTAGATGAAGAAAGCCAAAATCTTACTAAGGACAGGTCTGGGGATACTTGGGGAGCTTAAAATCTGGTGAGCACATTAGATAATAATCTCTTATGGTTCAAATTCTTGAGAGTGCTAATTATATGTGGCCAAGTAAAAGCATGTCCTTGTTTTGAGGACATGCCTGTCAAAATATTTAAAGCTGATACTCATCAACTTTGCAACTTTAGAAAGATTCCGCCAGAAGTGTGGGAAGAGAGAGAAAGATAAGGCCAAGTGAGAACAATTACTCAATGAAAGGAATG